CTGACTGGCAGTTTCACCCAACAGAAAAGTAGCTTGCAGTATCAAAAGCTGGCACCACTGTATATCCAGATAAGCAGAGATCATGGTGGGAATGGGATTAAAGTGAGCGCATATACTGTACATCTAATCATCATTCTAAAGAAAACTTATTGCAAAGCCATGACTTTACAAAACTGGAAGAGATAAAGCCCAGAAATGCTCATATGCCGCATGCTACAGTATATTTAGGGCTCCTAGATTAACATCTGAATATCCAGTGGCACTGTTAAATTAAAAACTTTGCTCTCAGCTTCTAACTAGGCAGCAGGCACCAATTCTAGTATATATCCAGAATAAATAAACATAAATAATGTGCCGAGCTCACAAATAAACTGTGATTCTTATCTACAACACTAATGATTAATACATGCTGTATATCATTACAGTGCAACAAGCTTATAGTGCTTGCCTGACTTCATCAGGTCGTGTACCCTAGATGTAACATACGTAGAGAGGAGCCTGGGAGCAAACCTAGAGACAGCAGCGCTGCAACATGTACTAGGAGATTTTACTCTGATTTGGATGCCTTTTTATCACTTATTACATTTGAAGTGGTTTTATGGTGTACACTATGGAGTGTCCGGTTTTTGTCTCCACCTGTTAAAATATGTTTAGATTGATTGGAGCCGTGTTGACACTAGAGAATAAAACTCAAGCCGCAGACTGAAAAGAGGAGTTTTTTTTTAATTGCTAACATTGGGTGTAATTGGAAAAGGTAAGTGGCGGTTTTCAGACCTTTATAATATAAGGTTGCATTTACAGGAGAGTTATTCTATTGAGAGTGGAAGGTGGAAGTCACAAGGAACATGGAGGAATTCTCTAATTACTTGCTATTTAAATCCACTCAAGACTTGGGTGCACAATCCGTCTTGTATTGCACGGTGTATTTATCACAAGTAGACTTTTAGATATATATTGCACTGAATTGTGTATATTTGTGAATTTTAAAGTGGATTTTTATTAATTTCAGCACTACAAGTTTGTTGCAATGTAATGATATACAGCACGTATTAATCATTAGTGTTGTAGATAAGAATCACAGTTTATTTGTGAGCACTGCACATGATTTATGTTTTTTATACAGTGGCACCAGTTTCTAATACACACATAAGCAGTACAAAGATCAGGGACCTTTTACAACACTGCCACCATTTACAAAGCAGTAAGATAAAACTCTTGGAAATGACATGTTCTTGGTGTTCAGCCTGTTTTGAGCGCTTTATGCAAAACTTTAAGAGCAATACAAGCTGTTTATGTTACCACTCTGTCTTTATATTATTAAAACTGTTTAGCGTTTTACAAGGACATCTGGGATACAAGCTCACAGAAGTGGGTACTCAGATAAAGTAAGTACTACTTAACGTGATACAATTATAGACAGATGCGTAATGCACAGTGACAATAACACACTGAAATATGATGGGGAAAAAAAAAAATCGAAATCTTTTAATCATAGTAATTTTACATTTAAAGGTCTAAATACGAGTTCATAAGGGATCTCATGATCCATTACAAATGGCATTTGATTTGAGATCACGATATGCAGTGAATTTCTTTATAGTTTCTATATAGTTGTATTGCTCCAGATTGGCACTTTAAAGAACGAGAACACAGTAACTTACTTCAGGGTTATGGCAATATGGCACGTTCATTCCATTCCAATATGGCATGTTAATTCCATGCCAATCTACTATCCTAACTTTATTTGACCCAAGATAATAATTTAGGAAACTGTGACACATAAAGGGATGAAGCATACCACCACAAGAATGATCCCAACCTTCCACATAGGCTCCATCCTTTTTGTTCAGGACATAGCATCATTGCATTCCGCCGCTGATGCCAAGTTATCATTTTACTAGACAGTACACAAATGAAGATCCAAAAAAGAGAGAGGAGATAATTGTCTTCTATGTCTGAGCATTGTAGAGAGCTTCAGTTCTGCTGCTGCATATAGTCACAAGCATCTAGTAGTCCACAAACAAAATAGAGGCAAAAGGTATAAGCTGGGTGGGTAATGGTGGCAAGCACGTCCTGGGTCAATAGGAATAGAAACTCCCAGCTCACACAAAAAATAACACAAAAAGAACTATATAGCAGACACACATGGAAACATTATTGGACTAATAATAATAACAACAGGACATCCTTCTGTATTAAATGAACTACAGCACTGAGCACAGGGGTCTTTGGTTCAGTTCTCACCAGGATAGAATCTGTACTGTCTTTCCTTGTGTGTTTTTCCTCCAGATGATCTAGTGGCCTTTCACAATATAAAAAAAAAAAAAAAAAAGAAATTCAAATGGAAAAGAGAAAGAACTATCAGTTAGAAACAACAAGAAAATGTGGGTCAAAGTGGGGGTCCATATCTGACAGCTCACAGTCTTAACCTACATCATTTGAAGATATTTCAACACAAAAGGGATTTTAACAGAGTATGATTTAACATTACATACCAAACAAACAAAAAAACTTACAAAATTGCCTCAACCTGAGCTCCTCCAAACAAGGAAGTGCCTTCCACCCAAGCAGCTGCTTAGGCAGCTACAAAGAGGCTGGATGCTTGTGTTGATGTAATTAACTTAATAAGGCTACATAGCCATATTAGGTACATTTTATTTACCATATATAGGCATGTAGCTATATAAGGTCAGTGAAGTCGCTGCATCCCGCCCCTTTGTTTATGCCAAGCTGCTGATGGGGGAATTGTTAAATGAAAGTTGGAAAAAAAACATTAGTATGCTTTTATTACAGCTTTCTCAACTCCATTTTACGCTATCAGAAATATATTGAATAAATACCGGCAACGTTTAAAAAAAAAAAAGACAATATTTGATTTACTGTGTTACCTGAAACAATCTTAGTTCTGTTTAGGAAGGTTCCATGCTTAAGGCTCCTAATGTTATACAGCAACCCTCTTTGGGGGGTTTAAAGCTTTTCCTTGTAAGAAGTAGATTATGTGTAAATGTGACAGGTCTGAATGTACCAAAAACGACATATTTGGTTTCCAAACATTCTGGGAAGGAAAATCAGATTATATTTTTATTATGTGCCAGTCTATATTTGTTGTATATTTATTGCAGTGCCAGTGTGGTCTGCAGTATGTTGGCAAGACCACATGGGCACTGTAGGTAAGATTAAAGGAGCATGTTATTTATTTAAAAAAAGATTTTAAAAGTCATAGTTTGTCTGCCCTTTATGCTCAGTCACATATTAAATGTCCTAAGAGTATAACATTTGTAAGTATAGATACGCTGACTCCCCATTGGAATGGCTGTAACAGGACTAGAGAAATTTCAAAACTTGAAACTATGAGGATTTAGGAATTAAAATCCCATTCATTTAGGGTCACAATGTTAAGCAGGATATCAACTTTTACTGATAATAAATGGTCGTTTTTAATTTTTCTTATATTTACATATGGTTGATGCCTACGGCCACATCAGGCTAAGAAGGCTTGGGCCTGAATAGTACTTGTGTAGTTTTGTCACTATTACATTTAGTGTGTTTATTGCTGGACTGCAGTCAGTCTGGATATCTAATTTTCTGTGTTCTGCAGGTTTTCCCTAAGCCTGGTAGGTTGATTTATTGATTCCCCCCTGTTGCTGGGGTGGGGTACCAGCATACAGTGTGGGAGAGTCAACTGCAGGGTTCTGAATATGTGTCTAATACCATCAATCCCTGAGCAGGCTAAGTCAGAGGTATGGCTGGGAAGATGATAAATATTTGGACCCACCTTTGCAGACCTCTTTCTTCTCTGGGGCTTCTCCCTGGGAGAAGGTCTGTATGACTATGTGATGGCAAGGCCTGAGCCTCAGCATGTGCCATGCTCTGGGGGCTCTGAGACCTGGCTTATCCCTGAGAAGGTTCACTCAGAGGTATGGCTGGGAAGATGATAAATATTTGGAAGCACCTTTGCAGACCTCTTTCTCCCCAAGGTGTGACAATGTGATGGCAAGGCCTGAGCCTCAGCATGTGCCATGCGCTGAGGGGTCTGAGGCCTAACTTATGGCTTGAACTTATACTTTATGGAGGCTGGGCTGGAGATAGGATTTTCGTGCTGAAGGGTGTCGCAGGGGAGCTGCCATCTGGACATTGTAAGAAGGATTCATCGCTCACGTACCATACAGTGAAGACCAGAAGCCAGTTGGTGCACTACAAAGACTGTGACTCCTCTTAAAGGGTCATAGACTTTCCTGGTTGTTCTCTGCTCAAGAATTTATTTTTGGTCACTCTCATAGGACCTGATGCGATTGCTGTTACTAGTTATGAAGATACCTGTCCTCTATTTTTGTGCTCTCAGCATTCTGCAACCTTAGACCCTCTCTTCTGAGTTTTCTACCATTGAGCAATAAATAGTAAAAAATACCCTGGAGACTCGGGCCTGATCATTATTGAAGTGTCAGTATTTGTGCTGTATATTGTATTTTGTATACAGTAAATCACCCCACTTTGATGTAAAGTTACCTTCAAGATGGTCCCACCTCTGCCAGCGATGATAAAGAATATTTATCGCTGGCAACATGCTGTATTTGTTAGTAGCAAGTGAAACAAAAAACACCACAAATTAAAAAGTGTAACATGAAAAAACACATTTTATTGCACTTAAGTTATAAGAAAATAAAATTTCTAAGTGAATCAAACCATAGACACAATCCCTTTAAACAATGTTTTCCTCCATCACATCAGGTTGTTACAGAACTGTAAAATGAACGAAATGGAATCTGATTATTTTAAAACCAGACTATAAATAATAAAACAAAAATATAGAATGAGGAGGAAAAAAAAGTCTAAAAAACAAATCCAAAAGATCGCATAGGATACAGTGTTAAACCACTTTTCACAGTTCAGCTTGAGTTGTGACTCTTGGAACATGAGGCAAATTTGACAATTGTATGGTCTTGTTTATCTGCACGTGAAGCTTGCACCACAAAAAAAAAAGAAAAGTTTCTCCGTATGCCTTCTTTGCTTCACTCATCCACATGCCCTATTTAACTGTAACAGCTGTCTACCCCTCGAATACTGTCATTTGTTGAGCCTTACCAGCAAATTGTTTTTTTCTTGGTTGTTTTGTTTTTAAAACATGTTTTTGTCAGTTGTAATGCATTTTTGTTACATTCACCACAGCCTCACAACAAAAAGTTCCCAACAGAACAGGCTACAACAGCTTTGTTCCAAGGAATGTGTTTACATTTTGCTCAAAAACAAGAAAAATAAGCTTTGCACAGACTCATATTTTTATTAATTTTCTTTTGCAAGCAAACTTCACTCAATTTTCTGAAACTGTCCCAATTACGGCCTCTTAGAGGCACCATGGACACAAATTTCAGTGGCAAAAAGTCTTTTTTCTGTATCCAAACTAGAAGAAATTTGGAATTCAGTCTGGGACTAAAACGTCACAGCAGTAAAATAATAATAAAAAAAATTTGCTTTTTTTTTCTCCTTTCATTTAGCAGCATAAATATGTTTGGCCACTGGGAATACAGTACAGCTGTGGGACAACAATCCCATTTATAAAGACCTACTGCTAGCACCAGCATCAAGATTTATATCCATCTGAGAACATAAAGACAAGCTTGCCACCCCAGAGCAATGTATGCATTGAATAGTGTAGATGGAAGCAACAGTAAAGAGAGAAACAGAGGCTAATACTGTGATTGACTGACATTGGCAATAGTCGGCAAAAAAAAAAAAAAGTGACAGAACTGTACAAAAACAATTCACAGTAATTTTTTTTTTCAGCATTTCCAAAAAAGAGAAAATGACTTTGTTGCAACTGCTCTCTTGCAAATTCAACCAGCGATTTGTGAAGCTGTAAGCCAAGGTCTAGCTTTAAGGACAGTCCACCGAATCTCATGTAGACTACTGGTGCTGCCTTGTGAACAAATTGGAGACGTTATTCGGAAAGAATTGCACCTGGTTTCATTTTGAGAGTCCTCCTTTTCACAAAAGAAAAAGGTAGTCCACATCAAAACGTCATGTCTGTCTGTGACAAGATGTCTTCTGCCATATGTAGGTCTGCGTCATGTTGCCCAAAGCTGAGATCCTGTTAACAGAGGCCAATGGATATTTTTGGAGGGAAGGACTAGGTAAGAAATGGGAGCCAAAAATAAAAAGGAGGGTGTTACATAGTCTGTAAAATTTGGACAAATTAATTTCCCCAGCCTTCACTTCATGTCCACATCAAAGTCCAGCACCAGCAGCTTTGTCTCTTCAGTCCCATTTCTACTTCCAACAGCACACACAAGCTTTGTATTGGAGGCTCGAATTCGCCACACAACACCTCCACTTCCACCACTTTCCAATGTGACCAGGTTCCGAATAAATTCACCCGTTTTCAAGTCCCACAGTTTTACAGTCCCATCATCTGAGCTGGTTATTACAAAGTTCTTGTTAAACTGTAAACAGGTCACAGCACTTTGATGTTTGTTGGGACCTAGGAGGAAAATGTGTAACAACATATTATTACTCGATCCCATGCAAGTTAAAAAAAGTTTATGCATCAATATCTGAATGAAGGTATTTTTATTTCTGACATATTTGCAAGCAAAAAACAAAACACGTAAAAGCCCTCTAACCATAAAGAATGATTTATTAAAATTAACCCTTGCAGTGGGGCTACCCCCGCACTGCAGGGGTTAACTACTCATTCTGGTCTGGGAACAAAAACAAAATATTCTCGCCTGATCCTCAGTCCAGCCGGGCTGCTAGCCCGGTCCCCGCAGCCTCTTCTCCCCCAGACTCCCGTGGTCCTGTGGAGGACCCGTGACATCATCATGACTAATACAGGTATATTAGATGTGAAGACACCAAGGGACATACCGCAGCCAGGGCAGAGGGGGACATAGGTGAGCAGACATTGCCACAGGACTGACGATCAGGTGGGTGCATCTTCTTTTCATCACTAGACCAAAATGAGCACTTAACCCTTGCAGTGCGGGGAGAGCCCCACTGCAAGGGTTCATTTTAATACATCCTGCAGTTTTGAATTATTATTTTTTTTTTTTAAGAAAAGAAAACCTACCCAAAATACTAAAAAACTAATATTTTCTTAACTTTAGTTGTATTTTATTTTTCCATTACCATGACCCACCATCAAAAAAAAAAAAACCCCTAAATAATTTTCCCACTTTTGACTTTCATGCGGATACCATATTGTTACTATAAGCAACAGCTCCAGGGGGGGCTGTTGCCCTGATGTAGGCTGCTTCTCCATTTGTTTTCTTTGCTATAGTCAACACCTCCAAAACTGATGTGTCATACATTCCAGTTTTAGAAAACATGATAAATATTTGCTATAGACAATAATGTATTGTAATTTCCATTTGAATACTCTTTGCCATGTATAAACAGTGCAAGTAAAAATAGTTTGTCTTGGTTAGGAAGAGAAATACTGGAAAATAGAAAGTCCATTGTCTCATCTTCCTCTGTGTTCCTATTCTTGGGAAAGGAAATGCCCACCATTCTGCCTACTTGATTTATTTGACCAGACAGCTTATGCTGCCTTGCAGTCCAATTAAATCAGTCAGTCTTGTAAGGTGCAAGTAACCCCCTGGATACAGGCAAGGACTGATTGTTGATATGACATTTCCTGAGCACTCTTCATGGTCTGCTAGCTAAATATATCATTACAGTTGTATTATAGCACCGAGAAATTCATCCAGCCCTATGTAATTACATTGCATACCGATATTTCTATGACATTTTGTAACCAGGCTGAATCTGTTTGAAATGTTTGTACAAACATATTATTATAATTTTTTTTGCATAAGGTGTTTGATAACCATTGCCCCTTGGCAGCGTGTACACATATATATTTGTTACTGCACACGTTCAGCCATGATGTATCTATAGCGTTTACTGAGCTAAATCATTAACAGCAGCCCAATAGTTTCCTTGAAATGTGCATTTGTTTCCTAACAAGAATACCAAAACCAAACGTTGGTGCTCTTAGTGTTTTAGAATGTCCAAGTTTGCCATTTAGTTAAGCACTGTTCATGATATAAAATGGCTATTTAAGTTATTTACTGTATATAGCAGCGGCAATGTGCACAACGCTTTACATAGTGCACATTCACATCAGTCCCTGCCCTCAAAAAGCTTACAATCTAAGGTGCCCACCACAAATGCATACATACGAGGGCCAGTTTAGACAGGAGCCAGCATGCCTTTGGAGTGTGGGAGTAAACAGAGTACCCGGGGGAAACCCATGCAAGCACAGGGAGAACATGCAAACTCCGTGCAGATAGTGACCCGGCTGGGATTCTAACCACGGACCCCCAAGGGATGCAAATGCAAAAGTGCTAACCACTATGCTGCTATGGTTTTAAAGCGGCAGTTGCCACGTAGGGTGGTCAAACACATGTGCTCTAAAAGGGGATTTCTCCACTATGGTCATGATTGCACAATGTAGAATTTTGAAAAGTCTTTTATGAATGGCTTCAATGGCCATTAGAGACAGCTTTTTGTACTTGGTTTGATAAAACTAGCCTGAACTGCATTTCTCCTCCAGGATCATGTTGAAGATTAGATTGAAGGGCTACAAACAGACAAGCTAAATTAAGTAAAGCAGGCGAGGAAATAACCTAATGCTCTACTCATTCCTTTATAAAGGCCATCCAGAGATGACAAACATAACAGACCATAGGAATGAATGGAGACTGAAGAAGATGAGCCCACCCAGAAGAGAGATGGAGCAACAGCTGTGCATCAGCATCCAAGATGTTGGAAGAGTAGGTGTAAGGAAAACACTTTGTAAGTTACTGGGAGGAAAGAAGGAGCATTCAAAAGGATAAACTGTATTAAAGTAGATTTATCCTTAAGAACCCATTCACGCCAGGGCGTTTTCGTCTCACGGATTTTTACGCGTTGAAACGCCAACATTTAAGAACCCATTAATTTCTATGGGGTCCGTTCACGCAAACGCGTGTAATCATGCGTTTGATCCGCCTGTCGCCGGAAATGCTCCCCGGGCTACTTTTTAAGTGCGTTTTCCGTATAGACTTCAATGGAAACGCACAGATAAGCCTGTTTTTGATTGTGTTTCAGCGCTAAAACGCGCAAAATCGCCCTTCCAAAAATCGCGCTGAAACGCTGCCGCCCTAGTGTGAATGAGGCCTAAAGCTTTAAAGAATTTGCCAAGTATAGTAACTAGAACTTAAGACAACATACCTTGCAATGTTTGTAAACACTGTCCTGTTTTAATGTCCCATATTTTAACAGTAGAATCCGCATTTCCCGAGACAAGAATGTTATCCTTAAGTTCCATCCCACTGGTTAATGATTGGTGTCCAGTTAACGTGTGGATACAGTTTCCAGTCTCCACATCCCAGACTCTTATTGAGGTATCCAAAGATCCACTAACTACATGGATGCCATCAAACTGAAATTAGACAAAACAAAGAAATATTAAAACTTCATGTTTAGAAGAGAAAAAATCAAATGGCATAGAACTTGCGTGTGTGGCCACCACAGGTCAGAAGTCCTTACATAATCCATGGATTCCACAATACCATATATGCTAGTAAGATTTACAATTATGAACAAAATATATTTTATTTCACAATGGAACTCTAGTATATGTGTAAAAAACTGTTTTCCTAGTCTACCATTATATTTGTACTTCACTAGTTTGTAAGTGAACTGAGATATCCAAAATACTTACATTTCATATACCTGAAAGTCTTAAAATATAATTCAAAATGTAAAAAAAGAAATAGAACCGTTGTTCCAGTCTTTGAATACAACATCTCCGTTTCTAAAACTGGGAGGGTTAATAATAGGCAAGTTAGCCAATTTCTGAACTCAGTCACTAAAATAATTTGTCCGTCTCTTCCACCACCACTGACAGCTATGTGGCTCCTAATTTGCTGTACTCTTCCCCATTGGAATGACTCACAGGAAAAGGAAGACCATAAAATGCTGGCTGTTGTATTTTTAGTCTGCACTAGGGGTTATGTTTTGTGGCCAGCTGAAATGTTAATGTATGGTGGGGTGCAAAATTCTGCTGTGGACCTGGAATTGTAAGTACACAACAAGCTCCGATAACCCAAGAGAAACTGTCGATCCCATCCAAACATTATATTTTTCTGCACTTGCCTTTTTAACATAGAACATGTTAACTGCCTAGTGTATCTAAAAGGGGCACTGGTCATGCATCTTTGATGAAGTCTTAACACTAACGTCCTTGATTGCATAACGCATAAACCAAAAATAGCATGACACAGAAAAGATGGACATTGGCCTTACTTGCTAGAATGTAAAATTAAATTAGGTTAGAAGTAACTATTTTACAATATTCAGATAGAAATATGTAGCTAATTGGTGACCTACAATGGCATAGCCAATCACAGCAAGAAATCCAATGTGTCTCATAACCAGAGGGCATTTCTACAGACGGGATAAAAAGAGCACAGAGCCTGACGGTAAGGGCACATTGTAATGAGCTCTGAGCAAAGTAAATACAAATCGGGATGGCATTTGACCTACATGCATTTATAACCAAGCACGCATAGCTTACTAAAATGAATCTTCACAATGCTCTGCAAGTCTAACAAAGTGCTGGAACGACACAGCAGACAAAAGAAAGAAAATACGCTGTTCTTGTATACATATATTGATCATACCTGTAGAGAATAGACTCTGTTTGTGTGGCCTTGCAGTGTGTGTAAACAGGTTTCGGTCTCTGGATCCCAGACTTTAACCATGAAATCGTAAGCTCCGCTGACTACCCTGCGTCCATCGTACTGAACACAGCGGACAGCCGCTACATGCCCCATCAGAACATGCAAGCACTGGCCTGTTTCAATATCCCAGACTCGAAGGGTGGCATCTCGTGACCCGCTTACTACCCTGTAAAAGAAAGGATGTAATGAAGCACATGAAATG